TTTTTTTTTTTTTTTTTTTTCACTGTTTAATGCTAAATTCATGAAATCACTGCAAATAATTGTCTTTATTTTATCCCTATAAGAGGGTTTGCTAATTGAACTGCTGACTATGGTGTGATTGGACATCAAAGTCAAGGTCCAAATTATATAGTCTTGATCAGTAGCATATACTAGTTAATTCTGACAGGATTCCAATGGGTCCTTGAAATCCTTAAAAATTAGCGGATGTGAAAAGAAAAGCAGTGTTTCGACCCAGGAGACTTTTCTTAAAACATTTATAGTGAGATTGTATTGAGGCTTGTGTGTCTGGTTGTTGCATGCTTGTGTCTTATATAGAGATCAGGGCAGATTTAGGAAATTTGGGGCCCTAGGCAAAGACAGGCAGGGGGCCCTCTGACTTGAGAAGACAACACATAAAACAGCCCCATTCTACAGATAGATAAATGTTAATAGAATAGACATCCATTATCTGTTCTAGGTTTTGTCCCTCTCTTCTTGTCCCTTTTCTTCTTTTTTTCCACTCAGCTGACTTTTCATGCTGTCTCTAAAGCAATGAAAGATTTTTTCCAAGCACTAAGCTCACTTAGCTGATTGCTCCTTCCTGTGTTTCTGAATCACACTTAATATTATCAGCATTCTGATGGCATTTTAGCCAAAGGATTTTTATCAAAAACATAATTAATGTGCACAAATAAGGAATAGTTGTATTAAACATACATGTAAAAAGAGTTTTTTGGGCCCCCCAGGAAATTGGGGCCCTAGGCAATTGCCTAGTATTGCCTAATACTAAAAAAGTACAGGCCATAGTGTGTTTAGAGAATTCTTTTAAGGTCCATAATTTATACTGTATACCAAAGGTCACGGATTAGCTGACCACGGTCCGGATGCAGACCCACCTGCTGGCTAATCCAGACTCAACCTGATTTAAAACAGAAATTACTGCATGTTGTCCGACGACAGTGTCTAATTTCACTTGCTCCTCTTCTCCTGTTAATACGGCAGAGCGTCCGGCTCCAGGCTGCACGTGATCCAAATGAGCAAATGAGCTGT